GCACACAAAAAACAAAAAAAAAAAAAAAAAAAAAAAAAAAACAAGACAGGGTTATGATGTACCGCCTATTACTGAAGCTAATAACGCCGCGTGTTGTTCCCCAATATCCCCCACCTTATACTGTATATACAGTACTGTATATGCTGCACGTACAGTATACATACGAGCCAGCATTCATACATGCACTGCAGCCATTATTATTTTTGGGCTCATCTCATCTAATGAGACGCGAACAATAAAGAGGACAAGCATCACCCCAGCAGCAGAAGCAGCAGCACGGCATTTCTTCTCTTTCCATTTTTTTTTTTTTTTTTTTCTAGGGTGGGGAAAATAGACCGAGACGGTCGACACTTGGTTGATTCGCGTTTGATTGATTCATTATTCAAGTTGCCGCCGTCAAAAATGCCAGCGAGCAAGGCATCATCATGCGACGTGCGGGCGGAACAGACAACCACGTATAGTATGAAGTATAAAACTCGACCGAGTCCCTCATCTTCCCAGCAGCACATCATATTCTGTACAGTGTAGGCGCGGACGAGGATAAAGCAAAATCAAATGAAAACCACGCGAGAAAAATTCCGCAGGTCATCGTGATGTAGGACAATACAGTAATTGAAGAACACAGCATCATCTCAGCACTCGGATCATCGTCTCGAATACGATTTGCGGACGAATGAGGGAGGCGGACGAATCCCGGCTGCCAAAACGGATCATCGTCCGAATGTACATATACTGTACTGTACTGTACTGTATGTATGTACCAACACCCATTTTGTTTATTCATTTTGTTCGGAAAAGGACGCTCACGGTTAACTTGACACTCGGCAATAATTAACATTCTAAATACATCTGTGGGGTACACGCGAATACTGTACTGTACATCAGCAGCAGTGATCTCTGCTGCATTGATGTGCATATCAGTCGCAGATATATACAGTACTGCATACTGTACGATAGTGCGGAACGAAGCGGAATATGTCGAGAATACAGTGCGTATAAGGGTAGGCTTAGGAATAAGCGCGGAAATGCCATTTTGTCGGGATCCGCGTGCTGTTGTTGCCCAACAGACCGCGGATGAGTCGCTTTGACTGCGGCCAGACGAACGTCCGTGTTTCTGTTTCTCTTTTCCCCTCCCCATCATCCCTTATTGTCCACACAGGAGGGAACAACGACGACGACGACGACGAGGAGGACGAGAAGGAGGAATTCTCACGAGAAAGAATTTTCATACGGAAGGGGGCAACAAACTTTTGGACACACGGGGAGTTTCACCCCGAAAAACAACTTTTCCTCCTTCACGCACTCCTGCGCGCGAGCTGCGCTACGCCGCGCGTCCACCCCTATATAGCTAGCTGCCACTGCATGCATGCTGGGTATACTCAACTTTCCATGTATGCGTATGTATGTATCCACTTCTCTCTCTCTCTCTCTCTGCTACTCGCTCTGTCTTGGACCGCGCGCAACAAATGAAAAATCCACTGCATCAGCAGTCATGAAACTCCCAACCCAGCTTTATTGATCCTGCTGCCACCCCGCAATCTAGGGCTTGACACATCAGATTCTCATATACAAATCAACAAGATACTGCATACTGTACTGTGTATAGTACAATACTTTGCAAGGAATGTAAAGCGCAAACGGCGACAGGCGGGGAGGAGACTTCCGATGAGAGTGAGACCCACGAAACTTCAAGTGAACTAACAATTTACTGCTAGCGTGTGGCAGCATGAAAAGAAGAAGAAGAAAAACAAGAAGAGGGGAAAAACGTAATGTACTGTTCTGTACTGTGCAATACACCATACCGCGACGCACGGCTAGCGCAGTCAGCTATATGAACGACCAGGGGAGGATGCGCATGCTGTGCTCGTCTCCCTCCCACAGCAGTCCTCCTCTCCCACCCTCTATATACTGTACTGCTGTAGATGAGGCAGTCACGGCTCCCACAGGACATTGAACTTGGGACGCACACACAGGCACGCACAACTAACCATCCAACGAGCTCTTGCTTGGCATGACTTTTTTCTTTTACTCTACTCGATCCACTGTACAGTATTCAGCAATCAGCATCGTGTCTCCCGCTCATTCTCCCTCGTCTCATCTTAACATTCTCCCGCACCGAGTCTTATTCTTCTTCTTCACACATGACATGACACAGGAGAGAGGGAGAGAGAGAGAGCAAATAGCTCCTCCATCCACCCGCGGTCAAATCACACGCATCAGTGCACTCGTGGAACAGAAGAATCATCGCCTGCCTGCTGTATACTGTACTGCATGTACTATACGCCAATACGGTATCCCGCAACTCATCGCTCTCCCGAGCCGCAACAAGAAGATCGCCATGAATGAATTAATGCAGCAACTTCCCAACAACAATGAACAGCGAACGAAATGTCTCTATACTGTGTATACAGTACAGGTACTGCACCCCATCCCTGTGTTTTCATACGACGCCCGATCGGCGCATGGAAGTTGTACTACTGTACGTAAATCGCATTTTGTCTATCGCGGGGAATTCGCCCGGACACTGCTGTGATCATATATCGAGAATGCTTCCCTCATCAGCAAGTCGTCATCTCTCATCAAAAATAGACACCTCGACATCTTGTCCACAACTCCCAATAATATTGGAATTTACATCGCCGACTGATGGAGCGATGCAGCCCGCATGCAGCTGTGATGAATTTCAGTCAAGTTATTGTTTCATGGACTTGGCGTCATAATATAGTAAATTACTGCGGCAAAATAAAATCTTATTGTTCCTGCACTCATCCGCAGAACGAGGGATAAATCCTACCATTGGTAATACTGTAGTACTGTAATACACAATACAGTACTTTCCAAGTAAGGCGCCTGATGCTCCTATATATATATATACATA